TGAACTGGGACAGACACCTGTGCAAAGTTGTGAAGTTGGCTTACACAGAAGTTGATGGATCCCCCTTTGGGCTCTATTTTCGTCCGCGCCGGTGAGGCGGCGGAGGGCGGCGAGCCCCGCGCAGTTGTATTTTCGTCTGGCGGAGCCCAGCGTAAGGCCAATTTGGTATTTTCGTGGCATGAGCCGCACGGAGGCGAGCCGAGATCCGCCAAGCTGGGCGTGGTGGTGTGGCAGGGGGAGGTGTTGACAGAATCAGCAGGCGCAGTGACATTTTCGTGCTCGCCAACGGCGTGTAAAGTGCGCTGAAAGCTCGCCGATTCAAACCTGGTCAGCTTTCAGCGCAAGGCGGAACGCAGCTGGTCTTGTAGTATTTTGGTAGACCGGCGGCGTATCGACATACGTCACTGATGCCTCACCGGCAGGTTTCCACAGTGTCAGGCAGATTTCAGTGCAATAAATAATCATCATCAACTATTAATCTGAGTCAGCACATACATTTAGATCTATATCGATATATTCTGATCTATATCTGATCTGATGAGCGCGTTTGGCACGCGTTTGGACACACAACCTGACCGAATCAACACAGCTGAGACCGCATTAAATTAAATTAAATATCTAGTAAATAAACACAAATGATGAAGTTAACTAGATATTTAATTTGTCTCCCTCCTTTTCTTTCTTCCTCTTCCTCTTATTTCTCGCACAGCTCGACCTGGATATGTGTCTGTGTCCTCTCTCTGTGCGGCGGCGGCTGAACGGATGATTTGTTTCAGTGCTCAGATGAGTTATTTACTTTAAGCCTACATACGAATATTATAATATTTAGTTTTGTGAACCAAATTTATTTTATATGCCAACATCTATGAAAGAGAGAGCCATGAGGCCAAGGAGCATGATGCGTCATTACGCACAGATGGTTGTGATTTTAATGCCATTATTGGAATTTATGGTGTGATCTGTGCGCACAACTCATCTTTGTCATATGGGATTTAAATATATGCAGCACATACATTTAGATCTACAGTACATTTTGATGTATATCTATAGGAGCGCGTTTTGCACGCCTAATTGCCACTCCACCTGACCGACTAACACAGCTGAAACTCTGATGCAAACTAACTACTTCACGTCTCTCTACCAACCACAAACAGCTTCGTCATCACAGAGAGAGTATATATTTGGCATGTCATCTCAGAACACTGAGAAAAGAATCAACGCACACTGAAGCAAAGTAAGTTATGACCGTTGTTCTCAAGATTTACATGCAGCATGTGATCTCACAGCTACAAATTTAATAATTTCCATGCTTAACATTATCTACAAAGATGGAGTACATAATTGCAAGGAGGTGGAGGAGGAGGAGGAGAAATTACAGAGAGAGGGTGATTCATCACAGGGCATCATATTTAACCTTAACAGAGCAGGAATGCAGGTGGGCCACATGGATAACGCCTCCAACACCGTGTTCAATACAACTGCCTTTTAACAATCTACTATTTTCCTTGACACAGGACCAAATTACACCTGCCTCGTGAGGTGGTCCACGCGATCACACGGATTGTGGCCTCAGATGCGGACCCCGGTGGCCCATGCGCTCTCCCAGTTGCTGTGAGGGTGACAGCGGCTCTGACTTTCTTCGCCACCGGGTCTTTCCAGCATACCGTGGCTTCGGTGGTAGGGATAAGTCAGGCCGCTGTCAGTTTGGCCATACATGCAGTGTCCACCAGTCTAGTCCGACACGCAAATGAGCACATAATTTTCCCATCATCACCTGCAAGCCAGCTGGAAACGAAGTGAGGGTTCTTGTTGAAATATGGATTCCCTGGGGTCCTTGGAGCAATTGACTGCACACATGTGCAGTTGCGCGCACCAGAGACCCAAGCCCTCATTTATGTGAATCGTAAGGGAGTCCACTCCATTAATATCCAGGTGATTTGTGACTCAAATTGCCTGGTGACAAACGTGTACGCTAATTACCCCGGGTCTGCACATGATTCATTCATCCTGGCGAATTCTATCATCCCTACAGTCTTTCAGGGGGACACCTCTCTGGATGGGTGGCTGCTAGGTGATAACGGCTATCCACTGAAAACGTGGTTGATGACGCCATACATTACACCTTCAACAAGACAGCAACGTGTTTTTAACAGTGTCTTCAGCAGTGCTAGGTCAGTCATTGAACGTACTTTTGGAATCCTCAAAATGCGTTTCAGATGTCTGGACCGGTCAGGTGGTTCATTAACATACAGCCCGCAGAGTGTCGGTGCATTCTTTGTGGCATGTTGTGTTTTACACAACTTAGCTATACGCCATGGATGCCACTACGACCTCGCCGAGGACACATTACTGGACTTTAGACAGAGAGAGGCCGAATTGCATGTGCCATGTCAGCAGGGAGAGCAGCAGAGCGCGCAGGTGAGGAGGGACCGCCTCGCAGCACAGCTCTGCCCTTAAGTGTGAGTATTTGCTTTCATTCATTTATACACTTTTTGTAATTATCCACATTAAAACATCCAATAAATAGTCAAACATGATTGCATTAACAAGTGTTTTTATTGTGTTTCTCCCCTCCCAACCCCCCTTCTTCTTCTTCCTCCTCCTCCTCTTGGGTCTGGACGCTGCAGTCGGTCAGTCAACCCAGGGGGCCGCCCCCCTCTTGTGCGCGGCCTCAGCGGCCACCTGGGACAGGCGGGGGCGGATGATTCTGCTGGTGGCAGCAGCCTTTCGGCTACCTGGACCAGCCGCTGCAGTGTCGCAACGCCAGCGGCTAAGGGGAGCAGGCTGGCCTGGAGGACCTCCTGGAGAGCCTTCACCTGGGCCTCCAGCGACCCAAGCCGCGTCCCCATCGACCCCAGCTCCCTCTCCAACATCAGAAAACCAGCCCGCTGGGTGTCCAGGAAGGGCTGGTCCTCCCGCTGAACGCGGTTTCGTCTCCGACCCCGTGTTGCCGGCTCGTCTCCACGTCCTGCCCCCTCCCGCGTCTCCGGCACCGGCTCCGGCTCCCCCTGGTCCTCCTCCTCGCGGTCGTCTTCGTCCTCTCCCTCCTTCTCCTCCCCCCCGACCACCTGCTGCTGCTGTTCTTCCTCCTCCTCCTCCTCCTCCTCCCTTGTGGTCTGCTGCTGCCGCGACGGCGGCAATTCTGCCGAGGCTGACCAGAAATTTTATTTTAGTAAATCACAGAAATTCTTTTTTTAAAAATGTTAATACTTTCATTTAGAATAAAGAAGTTAGAAATTGTGTGAGCAAAGTTCATTTCAGATGCAAACATTAGCGGAAAGGGGGAGAAAATACAATCAGGCTTTGTTTGATCCGTCTTTACGCACAGGTGGTTCCGATTTCAATCCCATTATGCATGGCATTTTTTCAGATCACCTGTGCACACAACACACCTTAGTAACACGTGGTTAAATATACATGTTAGTGTCTTTATTTGTGGAAAAGAATGTTTGTCTTACCCATGAGTCCAACCTCAGAGACACCAAACCCCTCGATACTAATTTTGGGGAGTGTGGAGGACGCCACGTCCTCCGCAGGGCTCAGCACCACACTCGTTGAGGGGCCGCCTCCGGTCCTTGCAGTCTGGCGACGGTGTTGGGATAATTTAAGTTTAGCCCGTCGTCTAACATCATTGAACCGCTTTTTGCATTGCGCAGCGGTTCTCAGCACGTCCGGGCAAACTTGATTGACAGCAGCACTTTCCTCTTCCCAGGCTGCTTTTGCATCATCGACCCGTGGAGGTCTGTTCGCGTGACCGTATATCCGGCCACTGCGAGACTGGACCTCCCGGACCAGAGCATCAGTTTCCTCCTGAGAGAAGTTCGGCTGTCTCGCACTCGTTTCCATCTCGGCCATCTGTGAGTCTGCTGCACGAAAATGCCAATGCGCCTCGCCGACGGCGGATTTAAAGGCGAGGAGAGGCGGTTATTTGATTGGCGCAAATTGGACTCGGCTGTGTTAAACTCACTTCACACCCACTCTCCTTCCCCCCACGACGTATGCTGCTGGGAGGAGCTGAGTTAGGGAGGGGGGATACTTACGCCGGGCTGCGCGGCCCACCAAAATACCAAAATGTGCTTGGGAACGCCTTGTCAGCGCGGCGGATCTGATTGACGCTGCGCTTGCGGCAGATCTCCGGCGAGGCACCAAAATAGAGCCCTTTGTGTTACTATTGGAAATTTTGTTTAGTTATTTACGTTTTTATCCATGTCAAAACAGTAAACTGTAACCTGAAGCCCTGAGGAGGTCAAAGGAAGAGAACAACATGAGTTGGTCATGGGTCCAAGAACAGAACCTGGTGAGGAGAAGCTAAAGACTTGTAAGGTCTGCTCCTCTTTTTTGCTTGACAGTCACATGCTAACCAAGAAGTCCTGGCTAGCACTACTCCCAGGGTTATGTTGCCATAATAATACTAACCAACGAGCTCACATGCTGAAGTTAGGAGCATAAAGCAACCAAGAGATAATACAGTAGCCAAACAATGAATGTTTTGTAAAGAGAGCTATGAGACACAGGAAAAGTTTGTCGTGCTCTGGCAACAACATCTCTGCCTGAATGACGTGTCAGTAGGGGGAAACGGGGGGCAAAAACATGAATACTGCAAAATAGCAGACACACTAGCCTGGTGTGAAAGTGCTGTTAGCATTTACGGGTGTCATCAAGTCATGGGGCACTTTTTTTTTTTTTACTGCGGGATCGCCATAACTGACACAGATGGAAATATCATGTAAACTATCCTCAGCATTACATTTCCCATCGCCTGTATTTAAGTTGGTTAAACATAACCTGGAAAGTTCACTCCTCTAAAAATACCTGTCACATGCAGTCACGTCTACTGTATGTTCATACAGTTCTACTGAGTTTAAAGGGTCACATGTTAGCTGATATTTGGCTTACTACAGAGCTGTGAACCCAAAAGACCTTACTGATTTATTTCTCATGCTTTCCTAGATCTGTCTACCAAAGGAGGCAGCAATACTTTCAAGACTGTTTTTGTAAATCTTTCTTATCTTCTCTTTGAAGAGGCTTTGGTTCAACCATCTCTGATGCACCCAAGGCTGCCATGCTGGAAGACTTTGATAACTTTTCAAGGTAACTTCAATTTATGTATGTAGAGATCAGCATTGTCCAAACCATGGTTCTGTGCATTGGCTACGTAACTGACCAAATGACTTCTGTGAAAAAAATCGTAGAAAGACAAAATTGAACTGAAACAACTTTCACGGTGACTTCTAATCTGCGGCCATCATCTGGTCATTGCCTTATTTAATTTATGACCAAATACGTCATCTTCATTTACTTCATTTGTAGTTTTAATTCGTGGTAAAACTTCATCCTGTTGCTCACTCCAGGCATGACTCAGCCTAATTAGATATCTAATATTTAGCTGAAGAAATTAGTCACTCGTGACTCATGTTAAAATTCTGATGTGTGCGAACTGCAGATCAGTTGCGCTCAGTCATAAGAGGCCTCGTTAACTCAGACAGATCCTGTCATATTTATCTCATGCACATCTTATGACCTCAGATGTACAAATAGGGTGATTTTACAGCCGTGACAGGAGCGGTGACATTTCTTTTGCAGGGCTGTGTCTGCTCAGTGTATGAGGTTGTACATGAAGTGATGTCAGATTTTATAAGCAGCTTTGTTCCTTTTATAGAGGGGCTACGTGTTGAATGTGATGTCTACATTACTGAGGATATTCTCAGCTGTGTTGTTAGCACAAGGCCACAGGTTGTAAATCCTACACATGGCAGCAGGCAGGATACAGAAATAACAGTGTAGATATTTCACACAATTCTCTCTGCGTTTCAATTTACCGGGATAATCTATATGACAGCTTTGTACCTAGAGTGTCTCTCCGTGAGGGAAGCATGCTGCTCTGATAAATACTGAAAAGTTTGTTCAGTGTGTCAGACATTCACATATGTACAGCTTTTCTTATTCAATGCCTTATTGCAGACCCATTGGTAACATATCAGCATCAAAGGGCATAAGAAATAGAGAAGAGATAAATACAATACAGGGACATCAAAAGAAAGATACACAGCTATAACATATAACAGATACAACAACTAAGTTAACTCCCCTATGATTTCATTTTCTGAATTAGTAAACTAATACATAAACCGATACTAAAAGTCTCTCATGTAATGTTGAGACATTATTAGAAAAAAAACAGAAAACCTGCACACACCCATCCAGCTTGGTAATTTCAGAATGACTGTATATGCATCATTTATGCACCTTTTTTTAAATTTGACTGTACTTGCACCACAGGGGAGCAGTGCAAGATAGAGTACAGTAAGCTTAAGAGAGCTGTTATGAGCCAACATGAAGGATTTTAAGGAAGGTTGAGTCAATCCTTTCTTGCCCCAGTCTGTCAGAAATCTTTAAACTGCTCAGGTCCCTTTGTATGGTTAGTTTAGAAATGGATCAGGTCACTGTGAACCTTTTGGCTGCACCAAACTACAACAAACTTCTTCTGCATTAAGATACAAAGTTATTGGGCCATTCCCTCTGATATTGAGGGTTTATGGGTAAAAAACAGATGACAGGAGATATCTGGACCTCTCTGTCTCCACCCCCTGTCCTGCAGAGCTCCTCTCCTCTTATTTGTTCCATATCAGAGTCGTATAAACTCTCATTTCTCCGGGAACGTGTATGAAAATAAACAGCCAGCAGGGAAGCAGCCACACTGACGTCAAGGAAGAAGATGGGATCAGATCAAAAACATGGCGAGGCCGCACAGAGGAAGACCGTGAAGTGATGTTTGAAAGGATTTTATTAGAGGAAACCCACTGTGAATGATTGAGATTAGATTTGTATGGTGGCTGTTGAGGTTCCATAGAGCAAGGCATTCACCCCTGAAGCACTTCCTGTGTAGTAGAGCATAACAGTACTGTGGTTTGTGTGGGTGTGTATGTGTGTGTGTTTATGTGTGTGTGTATGTGTGTGTGTATGAATGAAAACCTTTCTGACGTCAGGGAAGAGACGAGGATCTTATCAGAAACACACACAGCAGCTGAGCAGGATAAAAACCTGGAGCTGATCTGCGTTCAGATGTGATGTGATATACATAGGACGACCCCATTGCATGTATGTGCATGTGTGTGTGTGTGTGTGTGTGTGTGTATGTGTGTGCAGGTCTTGTTGTGTGATATTATCCAGACACCTGAAGACTCCATGCTCCCTGTCTGTGGTGATGATAGGTGTGGGCGGAGCTTACAGAAGGGGGTGACAGCAGGCCAACAATTATCTCACTAACCTGCTGACAGACACATGAACACACACCACATGTGTATTCCACAAATTCCCCCTCATAAGGCATGTTTACAACATAAAAATACACACAGTTTTGCAAAATGTAATGACAAAAAGTCACAATGATAGACTACATAGATACAAGATATAGACAAAATATCTGAAAAATGTTAAATACATACATTGTGGCATTTGCATCAACAGACAAGATCCTGTTGGTGTCAAAATTCTCCTGACATCTGTCTTTTGCATTAAAAAATGCTCTTTTTATTACAAAAAGTTTACTAAAAGTTGTTTTCTTGTCATGTTGCAGACAGATCTGGCATCATGATGTGGTGTATTAGCATTTTTTCAACCATGAAATTGTAAATTATTCAGAGTAAAATCCATTTGTTTTAGGCTTGTAGTGCTATGAGTTGTTTTTTTACGGTATTAGAAAGACTGTAAAGCATTTGACTGGTCTCAACAAGCCATGCTGAGGACGTCCCTCAGATCCAAGTGTTGATCTGCACACTTCAAAATAGTGCTCTGTTGGTCTTCGTGATGCATGCTGACATCAGTCTGATTAGCTGTACCCGTGTGCTCAGCTCAAAAGTCCTAACTTATACTTTTTAATGCTATAGTGATATCTTAATTCCATTTGACACATCAAGGATTGGACTTTTGACTGAGGCATCTGTCAGTTGTTTTAAATTAGTGAAGTGTGCTATTCAAAAGCACAGTAGTGTCATTAATTTCAACCATGGTGACAGCAGCAGCTTTACTGTCCTGCACTTAAAAGAGACATGTGATAGAGTTAATGTGATAACTTTGGACTTCAATCACATCACGTTTCATGCATTTACTCTAACAGCCTCAGCAGTTTTTGATGTTAGTTACACAGGAGCATCTTTGGGACTGATAGATATACAGTCACACACGCACACATTTCCTCCGAAAACACACATATCTTAAAACATCAAACGACACTCCCTTTACTCCACTACCAACCTCTGACCCTGTCAGTACCCTCCCCTAACGAAAACAACTCCCTCCCTCACCCCTGACCTCACCCTAACATTCAGCAGCCTGCAAGGCACATGCAGGACCAGAGACCACAGCCCTGTGAGGAAAACATCTGGAACACAAAATACACAGTCTGAAGCTGAGTTGTGTAGACCTGTGATAACATTGTGAATTAGCTTTATATACATAAAGACTGATTGATTGATAAATTAATTGATTGATATTTGTTGGTCATGGTGAATGAAATTTTGAGAGCCAAAAATGTAACCAGAGACAGGATGATACAGCTACTTTTATAGAAATAACAGGATCTTACAATTTACTCCAAATTTTAACAGAAGCCAAAGTGGGAATACTTGAACAGGAGAGATAGATGAACCGCTTACTTCTGTAGTTATACTAACTTAAGTATCGACCGCAAGATCGCAACACACAATGGTCTGAAGAGCCATAAACAAACCTCAACCAAAAAGCCGCTCTATAGCCACAAATAATGCTCAGAACTTCATCAACAGTACATATAGGGTCCTGGCCACAGCACTAGCCACCAAACATCTTTTTAGCTTTGCCTAATTTCTTTAGCAAAGAGACTAAACACAACTCACCTACTCTCTTCCAGCAGCTGCTTGCTTGTAGCGCAACCTTGGGCCAGTCCATTACAGACTACAGCGGGGTGACACAGCTCAAGGAAGAACATTTATGATAATTTCTTTATAATTTTCTTGAAGTAATAATCATTACTTCACTACAGAGGGATGTGGTAGTTCTTCTGCTTTAGCATCTCGATCTGATTGCATTTCTATGAAGAAATGATCATAAATGTTCTTCCTTGAGCCGAGACACCCTGCTGTAGTCCGTAATGGACTTGCCTGAGGTCTCACTACAAACAAGTTGGTGTTTTCCCTTTTCTCCAGTGAACGAGAGGGTTGCCTCTCTGTAGCTTCAGGTCCCGAGGAGGAAGGCCCTGACTGTTGTTTGTTTATACAATGGCATTCTTGAAACCTCTGAACTGGGGACACCTGGCAAAGGATCTCGCATGGGAGGTCATCAGCTTCCAGCTTCCATTGTGTCCCTGTGAGAGGTGTATAGAGGGGGAACTAAGGGGCTAAGGGGCTCTTACTATGAGCTATTCAATCCCTGTATGACCAAATTGAGAGCTGTACTAGTGTATTGGATTAAGTTATGGTTGCCCCTTGTCACGTATTTGGCTTGTGATCTTGATGGACAGGATTTCAAGGTGCAACCAGAGAGTACAGGGTCTCAAGTTTTGGGGCCTCAGAATTCCACCTCTGCTCTTTGTAGATGACGTGGTTCTGTTGGCTTTTTCAGGTTGGGACCTCCAGCAGGTATTGAGTGGTTCGCAGCTGGGTGTAAAACAGCTGAGATGAGGGTCAACACCTCCAAGTCTAAGGCCATGGTTCTCTTCTAGAAAACAGTGGATTGCTTTCTCTTTGGGTGAGCAGTTGATAAGAGTGCCATGACCCCTTTTTTTAGAGGAGTTCAAGGTGCATCAAATGAAGGGAGGCCCAAGGACAGGTTAGACCCAGAGCATGCTGTAGAAAATAAACTTCCTACCTTGTCTGATTTCGCACGTGTCATTTGGGTGGAGCATGGGTTGTACTGCTGTTACTGTGATAGCCTCGCGATGCCATACTAGCAGTCTGTTTTCAATCTTGGAACTGTTTTTATTTTGACTCTATTGTAGTAACAAACCTTGACTGGAAAAGTGTAAGTTTTGGCCCAAGTGCTCATTCCTGAGAAAACATCAATGTAATGATGAAACACAACAAATCTGAAACTTCACAAATGAACCTACAGTCACATGTGAATGGAAACAAGACAGGGTAAAAACAAACAGGGAAAATGTGTAATAGTAACTGATCAACAACATCAGATTTTGACTTTGCATAAACTGAGTCCCACTCGTCTTTGAAACTGTGTGCACACACTGTTCCACCACACACTCAGAGCCGTATACACTGTTTGTCAGGCCTGTGCCACATGACAGTGAGGTTGTACACTCAGCCACCACATCCCTCTCATAACGTGTCCTTTTAGAAGACACACAGGATGATCTAAGTCTGTCATTGGCTCCCACTGAGACCACTTTTCAACAGCAGAGACACAACTCCTCTTTAATTATCTTCTCTACGGTTTCTAATCTCAGGAAAGATGATTCTACTTAAAATATGAAACAATAGCCCCAAACTGCCCTTTATACTGGCTGATGGATGTCGGTTAGAAGCTGAACACTCACATGCAGATACATCAACAGTGGATGTCAAGTTACGCGATGGCTGATATCTACATGTACAAAAGCACCAAAAAACAATAATTTACATATTTTACTGTGATCTAAACCCATGAAACATGTTGTAATGCAGCTGGAATAACGACAACACAATGCAGATGAGTGAAAAATACATGATAGGTAACATCGGGTGTGTCTGCATAATAACAAGTAAACAACCTTTAAAATGCATTTATCATTTTTGATATAACATTAGGCCGAAAGGGGAATCTTAACTCTGGAGTGTCTGGACAAAAGACAACTGGAGAAAGTTTGAAAGTGAGTCAATTTTGTGTTGTCTCTAATATCGCCAGGCGAACCTTTGCTTCTGGTTTGGTCTGAAAATGTTTAGTTGCATTACGAGTACTGATGATTGAGTGTGTGAGATGGGAAAAGAGTTTGGGCATCATCAGGACCCTGAAAACTGCAGCAGTGTATGGACACATGCATATGTTGTCATTGTGTGTGAGAGTGGGTGTGTGAAGTGGTTATAAACACTCTGTGATCACAAATTCCTAAAGGCTGCGATCAGGCCAACACACAAACACAAACACACACTTCAGATGCTGAACACACCAACATGTGCTCACCATCACACAAACCTCTTGCTCATCTTTAGTAGGTTTGCACACACTGCCATGGACAAAAGCAGATACTGAGCAAACACTGACGCACCACTGCACACATATGCCTACACTCACACTTAAAACACACCTTTAACATAGTGCTTACCCTACAATGAACAAATAAACACACTTTTTTGGCACTCTTATTTTCTATAGATGAGAAGTGAGGTTGACAGATTGGGTAAAGTGAGACAGAACAAATGTCAAGTTTAATCTCAGAAAGTAAGAGCTGGAAATAAATAAATAAAAAACAAAACAAAGTTTAACCTGTCTGAATGTTGTTTCCATTCAATTCACTCACTCAGCAAACACGGTGGTTTTGGTTGGTGCTGCTATGCTCTGAAGTATCAGAACAAGAATTAGTTGCTTTTTTTACAGATTGCTTTTCCTTTAACTCACTATTGTGGCTCCATGTGTTGGGGGAAGTAAATCTCTATTGTGTGTGCACTAACAAACCCAAACATGCAGTTAAACTGGTGTTGATAGTTTTGCAAAATCCATATTGTGCCAAAACACTCCATGTTGGTAGAGAAACTGATACACTGCTCACCTCTAATGGGCAATCAGTATGTGTACACACACAGTGAAGTCGAGCTATAGCTGTAGCCCGAATACTGTCTTTGTCTCAGTTTACATGTGATAGGCAAAAATTGAATTATTAACAGAAGACTGTCTGCCTCAGCTATGGTAGGTGGCGATATGCTTCTTCAGCTAGTTACT